CTCAGGACTCACAAGAGACGGTGTAGAATAGCATGCTTTGCACAGCTAATGTGATAGTGGGTCGCATCACTTTTTATATGCAGCAGATATTTGTCCGGGATATATATTACGATGCCATGTATTGCGCTTTCTACAGTGCATTCCATCGCTGACCGAGAAATAGCATGTAAGTCTACCACAACGACATTTTGCTTGAGCCATGAAATTGTTTAGTGATCTCACGGGAAGAACAACAACAAAAACTGATTTCAATGATAAATGTCTTCCAAGGCTTTATAGGTGATAGAAACTGGACACACAAAAGCAAAGGTTTGTATTTTGCTGTACAAAACAACATTGAAAGAAGTTGACTTCAGTAGATACAAAAAGACCTTAACAAACAATGCTAAACGACATGCTCAATGACGGACGGACGATTTAGGTTGTGTAAGAGTTCTAACTCACCGCATTTCCTTCGTAGCCTAACGAAGAGGCGCGCGTAAAATGTAACGAAAAAGGTGGCTTTGATTTGCTTCACTACAACATCCTGATTTCTATAATATTATGTACAATTTATGGCATGTCGTGCGATATCGAAATTCGCTACAGTTTCTTTACGTGTAATTCTTAAATGTAAAGTAGGATTGAGTTTAGTTCGTAAAACCTAATGAGGAACCCAGTTTCTGTGCTGAACATTTACCTTTCTAGGAAAGACCAGAAGCATAAAGTCCCTCAAAACAATCCTGTATTTTGTCGATAACCTGCCGGTTTGAGAAATGCACCCAACTGGATATAACTAGGCACTATTCTAGTACATATCGAGGACATACTTTATAGAGAATCATTTTGGATCCCTTTAAATGAAAGGTACTACTAATAAACCCAAAAGGTTTACGAGCTTTAGAGACTTAAGATAAGGCTTGTTCTTTGAATGAATGATTTTAGAGTACCTCGCTCCTAATTCACTAATGTTACTTTATCGTTTAAATTTTACTCTTCTTAGATGTAAGCTTATCTGTGTGCATGGAACCGAAAATTTGAGTACTAAAAGAGAGAAACAATTCATTACATCAGTCTTGGAGTTTACTCAGATTGTAGTGGTAACTAAATCCCTAAAATCAATAGCTCTGTACACCTTCAACATTTGGTGCCGACCATATTAGTTTTGATGAACTCACCTGACTGATGGCGCTCGGTCACGCATCCTCACCAGATCACCAGTAGGTGCGCTGCGCCCAACTTCTGCAGCCGCTAGCCAGCTTAGATCAGTCACTTCTCGATATACCAATTGCCTATCAAATATATCTTCGAACTATTCGCTCCTGACCTCCGGTTTCACTGGGTTGGCACGTTTTGATCACAGATGCTACTGGTTAAGGTGCTGTCAAACTCCAAATACTTATGGTATCTTTAAGATCGTTCTAAATTTTACAACTGATTTGTACATTGATTTTGAATGGATTGCATATACTACACTAGCGATTGAACTTCCAGTATTCGTTCTGAACTTAGAGTTAATAAACCGAGGATTGAATGTATGGACAGAACCACTTACCTTTGCATAGTGTACGAAGCTTTCTTGAGTCACTCTTATCAAGTCACACCAAACAAAAACTCCGTGTTTGAATGGACTAATGATATCTTTGTACTTGTTGGATGCTCGATTTCGAATTCTAAATACAATACATTCGTTTGTGCCTGTGTCTTCTTAGTTCAATTGCGTTAATCCTGGAATTCCTAGTTCATACGATAATTAGAATATTATATTGGCGTCGTGATGGAACCTGCAATGGAAAAGTTGGATATTCATTCAACTCCTGAAGCTTTTGAAGATTACTTTGAAAGGTTCAAAATCTGGGCTATGACCAAGGAAGATGATGAGGATGTTAATATTGTGGCACACTTCCTCACATTCATTGGAAAAGAAACATACAGCTTATTAAGAACTCTGGCTATGCCGGAAAAGCCCATTTCGCTTTCTTATACAGCTCTCAAGGAGCTGCTGCTAGACTATGCTCAGTATACAAATTTCGAATGTCGTAAAGGAGGAAGATTTCGTAAAATGATTCATGAGGATATAAACAAGTCCACTACATTACGTCACCCCAACCCAGTTCATACTCAAGATTATGCAGACAATTCGTTGAGTTTGGATGCAGTTCACGAGGATGGGGACAAGTTTGGTCAGTGTTTGTCCTGTTGCAAGTTCCACTCTTCTAATTCATGTAAATTTCGTAATTCTAAGTGCTTCAAATGTCGTGATATTGGACAAGTTCAGTCAGTTTGTAATGCTAATGTTCATCTTACTGCAACTAATATTAAGTCTTGTAATTCTGATTCTACTGAGTCGAGTATTCATGATGATCATTTATCTTTATCAACGATTTCAAAAGACAGTGCAGAGTCATATGGCAGTTCAGAGTTAAGTGAAATCCAGAATTCTTGTGAGACAACAGTTCCTAATCAACCGATTTATCAGAATTCTGATGCTATTGTACCAGGTATGACTTTTCCTAATGATTCACATATTTCTAATGAAATTACTTGCAATATTGAGGAAAATATGTTAAATGTACCTAATCATGATCAAAAACCTGATGTGGTTTGGATAGATGCTGATTTTTCTAACGATCCTACGCTCTGCAATGACAGTCCTAATGAATTTCATGTGAATATTTCAGAAGAATCAAATCCTGATGTCATATTATATATTACCTATCCTCATAATGCATTTGATCCTTGTGAAAAACCTGCTCAATGCGAAGCACGAGTACAAAGTGACCTCGAGTTTTATTACATTTCGGATGATTTCATATCAACTGTTGTTTACCCTTATCACAAAAACAGTTCTAATGTTTACTCTGAACAATGTGAGAAATATGTTTTAAATGAAGCCACATTATTCATAACTTGGGGATATAAAGATCCAACATTATTTCGTGGGGGAGGATAGTGTTGAAAAATCTATGGTTCAAATTCTAGATATTAATGATTTCAGTACAAAACCGATATGCTGATTGTATGCAATTCCAGATACTACAAAGTTTTTATCTTTTACAATGTCGGACAGACTCAGGATGAACTTAACAAGAAGACGTACAACCGATTACAAACACTTATACTTCTATTTAAGCTGTGGCGGATGTGGTGTTTGAATGGACTAATGATATCTTTGTACTTGTTGGATGCTCGATTTCGAATTCTAAATACAATACATTCGTTTGTGCCTGTGTCTTCTTAGTTCAATTGCGTTAATCCTGGAATTCCTAGTTCACACGATAATTAGAATATTATAGTATCTTTAAGATCGTTCTAAATTTTACAACTGATTTGTACATTGATTTTGAATGGATTGCATATACTACACTAGCGATTGAACTTCCAGTATTCGTTCTGAACTTAGAGTTAATAAACCGAGGATTGAATGTATGGACAGAACCACTTACCTTTGCATAGTGTACGAAGCTTTCTTGAGTCACTCTTATCAAGTCACACCAAACAAAAACTCCGTGTTTAATTAATCCCTTTTTAATTTAAGAATGAAAACAAATTATATCACAATACAAAATACCTCAAACGGTACAACCTGTGCTATACAATCAAGGTTTGTCTATCACGAAATAGTGTACTAAATAGCGGAGGAAACAATAATTAGGTATTTGGGTCTTGGTGGGCCAAATATATCCATTCTAAAATTAGGACGAATTTGTTAAAAAAATAAAAGGTTTTGTCAGTTAGTGTATTGAAGTATAAATTATGCACAGAGGAAAATATGCTCTGTTACTTAAATTTTAAAAAGGAGGCGTATTTGAGTTGCAGTCCTGTGATTCATAATAAGTAGTCAGTGACCCAAACAACCAAAAAAGAGGAAATAAAGGGGAAAACGCATCAGAATGTCGCCTTTTTCGCCCATCCGGAGGAAATGCTGCGGATTTCCCCCTGTTTTGACGCTTTGTCGATAAATTACCGACTTTTCGCCTAAATGTCCGCTGATTTGTCTACTTTTTGCTCAAATGTCCGCCGAGTTTTCCGCTTTTCGCCTAAATTTCCGCGGAATTGCCTACTTATACGTTTAATTGTCTACTTTTCGCCTAAATACACACAGAACTCCCTATTTTCGATACAATAATATAACCTCAAAGGTCTCCCATGTTTTTTATTAAGCGGTGCCTTAATTTGTCGACGTGTATGAAAACTTAATTTCTGAATGAGGTCCATTCAAGCAATGTGCGTAACGTCTAATTGTCGACAAATTTCCCCCAAATACACGACGTAAAGGCGAAAAAGCGACATTTCCCGTTTATTTACGCTTTCGTCCGCTTTATTTCCCCTTTATTCGCCTTTACTTCCCCTTTATTGGTTGCTTGGGGATTCCAAATATGGTTGATGAAATCCAGGATGTGTGTCTAGAGTAATCACGTGACGAGGATATCAATACCATCTGTGAATATAAACATCAAATATACCAGAGTCATGTTATCGGGACTGATGATAAGTGAGAACAAGAAGTATGTGCGCGCAAAAGTGTATGTATGGGTGACAACAGATGTGTCATGCCACGAGAGAGCAGACTGGGAACGAAATATTAAGATCAAAGTGTTTTCAAACAAAACCTTTACAGTCAGTAGTAGTAACTGCACAGTTTATGAGAAATAATAAATTATTGAAACAACAGCAAATACTAATATCAGAATAAGCTCATGTCAACTATCTTCACAGAGACTCGGGAATTATTGAGAGCTCTCTGAACAAAAGGGGATCAAATATCTATCTGAAAATGCTCGATTCACCGTTTCTAGGAAGCAGACTAAGGTCAACAATCACCAACCGAACCACGCTGTAACCTTAAGTCTAGTCAAACACTACCTTATTGTCAATGTGCCGGCAACGTGCTACGATAAAATTAAATTAAAAAAGTAAATCTTGGTCACGATCAAACAATAGAAACCCTAACAAATAAGATTGCTAAACAAAAGATGTTTGTACTAATTTATTGACTTTTGAAACCCACCAATTCTTTTGAGGCTTCTTGACCTTGGTGCATAAACAATTTGTGTCTGTGAAAGCCGGGCTTTATTTATTGTGAAATAACCCTGTGTAAGTGATAACCTTATTTTTCTTTGTGCAGTTGGCTTTCAGAGTAGTCAGTTCTTTAGAGATTTGTTTTTATTCGAGGTCATTCATATTCAACGTCTTTCTCGCGAAACTTACATACACTCATTGTTTGCTTTGTCCTCGCCTGTTGTTTTGTACGGTTCTAGGTCTCTTGCAATATCAGTAGGGGTAGTATAGCCATTTGACTGTTCTAGTTATCGTTAGTTTGGTAGTTGTTTGTGGATTTGTATGTCTTGTGGGAGAATGAGTCTTCGAACATTGGGAAATGGACTCAAAATAAGATCTTATTTTGGGAGAATTTTTTTATCCGTTTTGGGTAAACCGTTATAGAAAATTTCGGGGAAATATTGGGGACTTCCCCAAAATGTGTGGAAAACCCCGAAATCGAAAGATTGGGTGTCTCAATACGGTAGGGCTTCTGTATATCAATACCTACATTGCCAGGCGAGAGTTTGGTTGGTTGCAATCTGAGAAATAGTAAGGAAAGAATTCTATTGCTAATAGAAAACGACCGTTTCATGAAATGATAGACAAATAAGTTAGTTGGTGATGCCGACAGCGTGAGTAAACCGAATTGTATGAATAAGGAGAGAAACGGAGATAACAATAAAAGAGATAGGAAGTATTTACTGTTATGTAATAATGATAACAGTAGGTAAATTATGGAACATGCATCAGGCAGCTGGTTCATCAGGTAAATGGTAATCCATGGGTATGTGTTTGTCAAGTTTCCTTTTGAAGCTATCCACTGAGAGGGTTGTGGTCACTTCGACCAGGAGAGCATTTCAAACGAGGGCAACTTTTAGTAAGCGAAAGTGAGTGTACCTGGGTATTCACTCCTTAATGTGTGATCTTCTGAGGGTTGCCTTGACGAGCGTGGTGTTCTTATACTCGTGTTCGGGTGGTTTGGCGTACTTAATGTTATATGTCATCATCAGATCACTTCTTATTCTCCTGTAGTTCAACGAGGCTAATCTCAGGTTTCGAAGCCTCTTCTTGCAATATTCATGTTTTATACGCATCATTCACTTGGCTGTCCGTTTCTGTACTTGGTCTAAGAGATTGATGTTTCTTGAAGCGAAGGGGCACAATGAAATTATGGATTTCAGGGCAGAGCCGTGCCTACATTTCGAACATTGTTACGAACAACTTTGGAGTGACTGCTCGAGGTCGCCTTTGCATAAAGTAGAAAGTTGCGTTAGCCTTGGCTTCATCCCTCATGTAGTTTGAGCTGGTGTCTAGGCTCTCTGTGGTTATTAGTTCAGAGCCACGCTCTAAGGAGACGATCGGAAGAGGATTTCCATGGGAGTGTAGGTTCTTCGTACCAAATGAGACAGGATGTTCATGATATGAAGTTTCGAAAGCAATAATAAAATGGTCCTAAACAAATTCAACTACTTTCTAGGGTCAGAAGAGGGTCATAGATTAGTGAAGAACTAGGGTTAAGATTTGGAGTGGGAATTTGGGGTTAGGGATTAGAGTTGGAGTTTTCATCACAAACTGACATGAGATATAATGCCGAAATGCTATTTATTCTTACTTATGAATAAACTTTGCATTACTGTCTTAGTTCGACAAGTAAGCACTGATGTTCATCGTGACCTTTTTTTCAATAAAAGAGCGGAATCACACGAATTTATTTTCAGTTGCTTACAACCTGTGATCCTAAAAAATCAGTTGCAAAATGGGTCACTTTGAAGTAACTCCCAACGAAACTCTTCCATGTATTTTTAAGCCCATCTTATGATTATGACTTGTAAATATAAGTTTTTAAGCAACTGACGAGAATCAAACAAAATATAGTAAATTCCTGTTATCCTGCTCAGATCCTTGTTCTTACTCTCTTCAAAATGATAAAAGGAACTGTGTAAAAGATAAAGTGATGAGTTGTTCTGGAGAAAGAATTCTCGACCTTGAGTATGCGGATATCTTATTGTGCGAGGATACCCAAGCCATGCAATCCTCACTTAATCGTTTGGCAGTTAGTGTCCGTCGGTATGGTATATGCTTTGCATCAAAGTGCAAAGTACTTTCACAAGACTGATCGTATACTCACCCTGGATAGTGAGCAGATAAAAGTAGTCGAGAGGTTCGTGTATCTGGGTATGGCGCATATATATTTGGTGCCATTTTGTACCAATATTTATGTATTCAAATAAATAAATAAAACATCCATCACAGCTTCTATCTTGACTGACTAAAAATTAATAACAATATGTGTTACTGAAGTTGCTGAGCCCAGTTTTGTTGATACCTTCACAAAATGGCCTATCTAATTCTCAAAATATATCTCTGCCATCTCAAAAAAGCTAAGTTGACTGGTTAGTAACAGAATTAGAGAGAATTCAAGGATCTTCATCTCCTGATTATTTTACAAGCTCGATAAAAATTTTGATATTAACCGGAATCGCGCTTCTTCCATCCATTGTTTTTGGGTTGACAATTATTGCACGGCGGTTGTGATTCCCCCACCCCCTGTTGATGACTAAAAATTTTTGAGATAGGTGATTGGTGAACTTGTTATTGCAAGTGTGTGTTCATGTGATAAGCATTTTGTCACCCGTAATAATTTGTTAGTTGGCTGTAAAATGTGCATCTTTGTAATCTGATTATTTCAAATCCAAGTAGCAGTAACTGGTTTGATTGAATGTGAGAATTTACAAGTTTACATTTGAATTTTATTTTGAGCAAATAATTCTGTCTGACTGTTCCATCCGAGTTTTGATAAAAGCTTCGACTTCTGAAAAAAGTAGACACCAATTCTATTTGACTGCCCTTTTATACTGTCTGTGAATATATATCGGGATAAACTTTTTGATCAAGTAGAAATGGATCCGAAGTCGTTAGGTTTCGTAACAAGAGAAGGACTATGTACCTCATTAAAAGTAAACTGGGAAAAACGGACAACTATTTTTAAGAATTGATAATAGTGATTACTGGACTTGAAAGCTGATCAAATGTTGAATGCACAAGTAGTAAACTGATTTTCATTTTAGCATTTCCATAAGTTATTTTAACACATAGTTTGGTCTTGTAATAATCGTTATATATATGTAAACATATGAATAAGTTATCGTGATAACATAATAAATAGGGTATATATTAGTCACGTTAAACGAAAGAGATTGATGAATGAAACAACTTTTACGCTTTCCCAAATTAATAATAATAATTTTTGATAAAGAAGCAAATAATATTTAATATCAGAAGGGTTCGTGTGGATATTACAGTAGTTTCAATGGTTGAGATCATAAGTAAATTGGAGCTAGACCACCATGGAAAACCTGTGAGCACTGGAAAGCCGTTTCGTCCTATTGTGGGGCTCTTCAACAGTGCGCACCCACGACCCCGCCTCATGAGATCCGAACCCAGGACCTATCAGTCTCACTCACGAGCGCCTAAACTTTAGACCACTGAGCCGGCCGACATTAAACGGTTTCAATGTCTAACTTCAACCAAATAATATTTATGACTGCGATTTCGTCAACAGTGATTCATAATAGAAAAGAGTTGCTGGATTTCCCTGTGAAAACGGTTTCGTTAATAAATGCAAGATTGTAATTGCGTTATATTGCAAATTCATTATAAGTGAAAATTGTTTTCAACTGTACATTGTCCATTCTATGTTGTTGAGTAGTATATAATTCTGACGAAAAAAGATACTTTTCTGTGTATGTAGTAATTTAGATCAGTTATTGTGTTTGGGAATTGTGTGGTAGGTTTATTTTACGTAATGTCAATAGCAAATGTTTTGTAAGTATGCAGTCTGATCAAATCATTGTCTGAATTTTTTTTGATGTTATTTGTAAATGACATCGCATACATTATTTATTCGGAAATTCTGAAATCATTTTTCAAATCATGGGTTTTCTTTGTTAAACATATTAAAGGACACTGACGAATTCTATGTACATATTTGTAATATTTCGGTACGTTTTAATATTAAACCTGAAACAGCTAAACGTTTAAAAAAATAGCCCTTTTTGACAAGTAATTGAAATATGGTCGTATTAATTGTAAATGGACAGACGTACGTCTGACATCAGAAATTTTTTTATACCCATTATACTGCTGAATGTAAATAATGTGTTAGCGGGACATAGACTAGATTAAAGCATGCTCAATTCACGATTGCTTTGGTGCACGCTGATTGGCTAATTCTTAACCAATCAGCACTAGTCGATAGTTGGAGAACACTCTAGAATCTTCTCATGTAGAAAACTATAAATATACTGACGTTTTTCTCTATTGTGCTTCTGACTTGCTATTTGGAATATAAGCTCTTTCCTGTTCAACCGTGTTTTGATTTGGGGACTTGTCGAGTGAATCGGTGTCCTAGAATACTAAGCAATAGGAATAGCTGGGTCATAACCGTAAGAAAACAGGATTATAACATAATGTAAACTGTATCAATTGAAATTCAGTTATACCAACGTTTAATTTCGATGTATTAATAACTAAAGGCGTACATTTTTCTAGTTGAACAATTAAAAAAATATTAAAATATTCTTATTAAACTTTGCATGTACTATTGTTAGACAGATTAGTATCATAGTTCCCTTTATTATCTTAAAGATTAGTATCCATTAGATGATATAGACATTTGATAAACCATAAAGAAGTATTCCTAATATGTGGGCTATGATCGTGTTGTTATTATTACTAATCTCAAATTATTATTTCAGTTAACCTTTCCTATAGAAATAATGTTGTTGTACCAGTGATTTAATCTTGGTACATAATTCCCAGTTATTGTACAGTAAATCAATGGTAATGATAACTTAAACTTGTACCAATTTTCAGTAAACACTTAAAGATAAAAAAACGTTTTCATTAGTAGTGACTGAAATGTTGTACGCAAGGAGTTATCAGATAAACATTTAAACTACTTCGCTGACAATCAGATTAAAGAAAATTGTTTGATGCCATTTTTCAACCAATTGAAACGAAAGAAATTAAATAAAATTGTACATGGCCCTGAAAAGGATCTTTACTCGGTCTCTTAACATTTTAGATTGTCCCAAACAGTAACGCTGCACATGGGTCAGTAGAATCCATGGAATTGTGGTGGTGCGTTCCAGCCACAAAATAAATAAAACATCGCATTGCAGCGACAAAAAAACCCAAGTACTTCCTTCAGCAGTTGGTGACTGAGCAAGATTGCAGTCGGTTGTCGCGGGCATCTTCGTCATTACTTAACGTGGCATCCAAATCCACGTTTGTTCGGTAGTTGGGAATTTTCGTCTGTTGGATCAACGGCGTTGTAACATCCATGGAATTGGAGGCTCCATCTGAAACTCATTTGCTGGCGATAACATCAACAGCGCTGGAGACATCGTTCCGTAAACCACTTGATGCGCGGAGTTATAGACAACACTACATTGTTCTTCAGACCTACGTCTTACCAAGGAATACGATGTTTTTTTATGCTTGAAGAATTGGGGATACGCAAAAAGGTAAAACCACTACTAATTCTTAAATCGGGAGCCACCCCTCTTTTAGACCAAAGCGCCCGGTTCCCTATGTAGCGCTACCCATTGTTGAGCAAGAATTAAAATGCCTTCAGATAAGTGGAATCATAGAAGCAGTGAGTTTTTCTAATCGGGCAGCATCAATAGTGATTGTTTAGAAGCCTAATGGAAGTATCCGGCTATGTGCAGATTATTCGACAGGATTAAACAAAGGACTTAAAGCTCATCAGTACCCTTTGCCAGAGGACGTATTTGCGAAACCGAATGTGGAGAAGCATTTCGCAAAATTGAATCTATCAGAAGCTTATCTACAGCATTACCTGACAACAAACACGCATAAAGGTTTGTTCCGGTATAACAGACTTACTTTTGGAGTAAAGACCGCCCCTTCAATCTTTCACCAAGTTATGGACGCTATGTTGCAAGACATTCCTGGTACTGCGACGTATCTTGATGATATACTAATCATGGGTACGGACCCTAGTGACTTACGGAATCGGAGCAGTGACTTCATATACCTACCCTGATGGATCTGAGAAAACAATCATCTACACTACACGATCTCTGACGACGACAGAAAAGAACTACAGTCAGATAGAGAAAGAAGCCCTCTCCATTATATTCTTTGTAAAAAGTTCAACAATATGCCATTTAGCAGACAGTTTACCTTACTAACAGACCACAAACGGCTCCTGACAGTTTTTGGATCCAAGAAGGGTGTCCCTGTATATACAGCAAACCGTCTACAGCGATATGCAACTACATTGCTGGCCTATGATTTCAAGATAAATTATCAATCGACAACGGATTTTGGACAGGCAGATGCCTGCTGTAGAAGTTAAGGCTGAAGTTCATGCAGTGTTGGCAGACTCAGTTTCCGGACTGCCGGTCACATTTGAAGCCAGTCAACAAGCAAGTAAAAAGGATAATCTGTTGAAGATTGTTCGTCGCTGTATACTCAACTACTGGCCCTCATTTAGACTGCATGAAGAGCTCTTACAATATTTCCGTCGGCGAGATTCCCCGACAGTTGTTGATTCGTGCATTATGTTTGGCTACTGTATCATTATCCCCAGAGCTCTTCGACATCATGTCCTTAAACAGTTCCATAGCGGGTACCTAGAGATTAAAGTGAAGTCACTGGTTCGGAGCTACGTATATTGGCCGTCAACGGACCGTAATACAAAACAAAAGTGTCGCAGTTGTTGGTCCTGTCAAGAAGCCACAAAGAAACGGACAAAAGCAGAACCACAAACATGGTCAAAACTGGACGAACCTTGGTAAAGAATACACGCTAATTTCGTCGGTTCAATACAAGGTGGAAATTACTTGGTTGTTGTAGATGCTTTCACGAAATGACCGGAAGTATATGATATGCCGAACACGACGTCAGAGTAAAATAAGAAAGTTGTCAAGATTGTTTGCTTGTTTTGGGGTTCTAGAGATCTTGGTAACCGACAACGGCACTCAGTTCGTGTCATCCGCTTTTAAACGGTTTTGCAGCGAAAAAGCATAACGCATCTACAGTTTGCTCCAGTTCAGTCGAATGTACTTCGTACGTTATTATCGTCCATAATTGAAAAGTTGTTCTGTCGACAAGTACTTACATTTTATATCAATTTTAAGAAATAAATAACCAACTATCCAGAATTTAAAACTAGTCACTTATTTAGACGAAACGGAATGAAAAATTTTTAAAAATGGGATGAGAAAAATCAATCAAAAAATACAAAAATCGCCGTGCGTTTAATGATATTCTTGTTTTGGGAGCAAAATGTAGTGTTACTTTTCTCATCTAGTTATTTAAAGTTGAAGCAGTGAAGTGTGTACTTGGCATCAGGACTAATTTTCCCTGCTAATCTGTCTTATTTGAGTTAGGGAGGACGGCATTTGAACTTTGATCTCACTGTTATAAATCAATTACTTCAATTAATAAGCCATTACTGCATCTTTCATCATAGCTTTCATAAACAAGGTATGATTAGGTCGATTCTTCGTATATCTTGGTGTAAGGTTATTTTATATTGTGTAGTAGTGTCCAGATTTTCATTCACAAGCTTTATATGTCCTTAAAAGCACTTCATGCTAGCCATCTTTTCTCACCAGTGCTAGACTGACTAACCCTAAGCCATATTTTATATGCTGCTAGCGATCCTCCTCAGTGGTGTCGTGGATATAAAATATAGCTCAGAATAAGAGCCAGTAGTGATCCTGTAGTAGCTTTATCAATGCATGCTTTCATAAACAATAAAATATATATTTTGGAAATGAACGAAATCTCTCTTGGTCATGTCCGTAATTTGATGTTGTTTTTTAACATATTTTATTTTTAGTTTTATGATTTTTCACATCATATTTTTAACAATATTTTTGTTTCACGGAACGTGATGGATATATTGATCTTGTTTTCTTAAAAACGTTGTGTCTGTTAAAATAAATGAAATCCCGGTCATTTGCCCAAACTAAGGTAAATGGAGCAGGATTCAAATCTTCTACTAAATCACTAAAAGTTAGGTGTTTACACTATTCAATGACCGTAGAATAGTTAATGATTGCTCTGTCTACTGAATTATTACTTCAAATCCCACTGCCCGTACATCAATGTAGATAATATATTTCGTTTAATCTTTGGGTCATAAAGGTAGTGCATATTCTAATACTTGAAAATGCATTTCCTTATCATCTAGTAATGCAGGAAAATACAATATTTAATAAGTTATGCTGTAGTAGTCCTCATATGTGGTCCTCTCCTGCCTTAATGTTATAGTACATCTGAACCTTGAAATTTCATTTATAACCTTTCTTTCATCCACAATTATAGATTATATGCAGTCAAATCAACGGTCAACGTCAGGTAATCAACCTAATTTTCCACGCAAAAGAAATACACATGTTCAAGGGTTGAAATCTAGACTTCGATCGAATATTAATTCAATTTTATCCAATTATGAAATGATTTTATCACGATCTAAGGTACACTGTAAATTCCTGTGCTTACTTTTCCTGTCTGTAATTACAAAATTTTAGATTGACCCAAATGAGGTTACTAAAGGTCTTGGTCCATATGCTCAGTGTGCTCAAGATACATTTGAATTCAGCGTAAGAGCAGCAAATATAGTAAGTTGTATTGTGAAGTTTCCTTGTGATTATAGAGAGAATAGTTGTCCGAATGTTTTTTTCAAACTGGATTTCACCAACCCTTATTCATTAAATAATCAGTGTGTTTTCTCTTCATTTGGATTTGTTCCTTACGTTAATGTTTATTCTCGACTGGCGGATGAAGAACAACTAAAAGTTAGCGATTACTGATCAACTATCTCAAAAATTCAAAACCACATCTGCACTAAAATCGTACGCAAAATCTTCATAACTTAAGGCAGATACTTTACCATTAAACCAGTGGTTAGAAACTCGATAATCTACAGTTCCAACTTCATTCTATTTTTGACTGAGTAAACTTAGCGTTTTCAGATATTTTTTAAAGGTGAACTTTTAATAAATATTTGCTGATATATATATTATACTTGCGAGTAACCATCACGTTCTTATATTGCGTTCTAATATTGACTGCTTAAAACTAGCTATTCACATCAGTAAACTGTATTCAAGGATCATGTGGACAATAAGACAATTGATGTAGTTATCTATATGACTCAACCAGTGTTTCAAGTTGCAAACCCACTTCACCTACTTATATTTAAAAAAAAACTGGGTGTTATTCCTAACCTTCACAGCAATTTTGTTCTAATTCGAGTACATGAACTTGTAGTTGGTTGCCTATTTATACTAAATTTCATTCACAACATGGATTGCAAGTTTTAAAATAATAACCAACTATTCTATATCACGTAATTGGAATAGCATTTTTAGCGTAAAATAAATTTATTTTATTCTTGGTCTTTTCTCATTAGCTCTTAGTGGCCGTTGTATGATTCGGATCGTTATTGATGTAGACGAAATATGGACCCCACATACATCGTATATAATCTGTCAATGAATACCGTTGATAACAACGTGGTTATAAAAAGTCAATACGAGTGTTTCAGATGTTTATATTTCATACGTTCAATTCTTCTGACAGACGAAGGAATAAGCAATGGAGAAAGCAAACGTGCCTACTCGAAATACTACTCATTACAAGCATCCTCTCTCTTTATAGAAATGCTTTCATATAACCACGCATATATGGACACTATCAGTCAAGTCTTAATCGCAGCCTTCTCGTGGCGCAAGGGGGTTTACGAGCTTGAGAGAACAAAAAGCAAGCGTCTAGTCTATGAAATGGGCTGAGGGTCCACCTCGAGATGCTGAAAAACCCTGATTCCAAACCAGAAATGCACATGGGCTCCAGGACCTTGAGGGAACAAAAAGTGTGAACTTATTTGTGGTCACTGTTTACTATAGGACCACATCTGTCGTTGTTCCACTGCCTTGTGGACTAGACCTCTGAATCAAAGGCTTTGATAGTTGCCTGCTAAAAAAACCACCTACTTTCGTTTAGGCACCCGGGGAGTATCCCAGCGACCACACAACTTTATTGGTCTGTGTGGCGCCTATATATTTTGCTTCTCCTTTGTACCAATGTTTGTGTTTGAATTAATAATATTGAAAAGTTTTATTTTTATTGGTACAATGAAGCACCATATATATATGTTCCACACTTCGTCATTCAATTTTTGTGAGGTCTGGAATACTCCCTGGGCGCTCAAACCAAAACAGGGATAATAGAAAGAATACGGTTAGTAGAAAGGTAAAAATGGTTTAATAGTCACTTAGTGCCTAAGTTATTAAATTCTATCTAAAGCCTAGGATAAACACATATTTAACGGCATTATGTGCTACGACTTCTATATTATCTCTTGAAATGATGATAATCAACAAAATAGAATGAATACATCTCGCTTTTCTAAATGTGTTCTTTCAACTGTTGTCCAAATATTCCGTTGATGAATTTATATGGTAATTCTTTAACTCATTATACAATCTTATCAGCTCAAATGAATTATTTCCAACATTATATTGTAATTGTTCGAAATTTGTTTTCAGAGTGATTATTAATGTCATTACTAATACAGTCTGTCAGTCAGCTACAACGTAAGACCAGGCACATATATGCATCAGTCCAAGTTGCCATACCTCAATAACACAACAAGATGGACACCGGATTCATAAGAGTAGTTAATTCAGAGGTGGTAATATATAAAAGAAAGATTGCAATAAGGATATAGTACAGGAAGAAAGAATTAGTTCGTAGAAAGAAGGAACGATAGGAAGCGATTTTAATCTCTTAGTTTAAGGGAAGACAGAGAGTGTATACACCGACGCCATTATGATCGATTCTGAGCCATGTCACCCAAAGTCTCCAACGATTGGTTACGATAGTCACGCGGACTCCAACCAAGTAGTTTGAATCTACCAACATGGCTCAGACTAGAAGTTAATGACTTCAAGCACTGATGCCACGTTTTGGTTTGGCCACCCCTAACTTTCTTCCAATCATTCCCAACAATAGCCAGTATTGCGCGTTGTGGTAATCGGTGTGCAAGCATACGTAACACGTGGCACAACCATCTCAGTTGATGAAGATTCACAACCTCATCAACTGATTTACCATCACTCCCTAATACCCTGCATCTAACCTCACTATTACTTACCCGGTGATCCCAGAAGACGCCAGCAATATTTCTAAGGCATTTGTGGTCAAATACTAGTAGCTTACGAATGTCTTCTACTCTTAATGGCCATGTTTTGCTGCCGTAAATTAAAACAGAACGAACTGCCGCGCAGTATACTCGTCCTTTTATTGATAGACGGATATCTCGCCTTCGCCATAGGTGACGTAAGTTAGCAAACGAGCTTTTCGAATCCGTGCTAATACACTATCATAAAACATTTCTATTATTCATATTTGTAATAATAATAATAGTGATAATTTTTTTTATTTTTTTAGGTACATGCTTGTGAAAATATCACTCGTCTAGTATCAGAAATTAAACAATTTTTAATATTAGGCGATTTTCGTTGGTTAGCACAAGTGAATTCATTAAATCAAGAAAAATTGATTCTTCGAAAATTAGATTTAGATCGTGTCAGTAATCGATTACGTGATAAACTTGTTGCTGAATTACATAATTTAGAACAAGAAACAAGTCCAGATTATCCTATTAATACTTTTCCAAAAAACTATTCAACAGTAAAAAAAAATACAAGTTAATTGTTGTATCTTCACGTACTTTTGTCAATTATAAATATCCATTGAGTTAGTTATATTGATATTCCTTAGCGTTGATCATTCATCCCATGATGGAAACTCTTAGTAAATGAGAAATTTTCTATTCCTAATCAACAATGTAAACATTGTCCTCTCCCCTTAATTGAAAGAAAAATTTACTTCAAGGCTGGTTTAAATCAATGCTTGAACTAATGATAAGGAGTATATTAAATGGTCGCTTTAACTACTTCACTTATTTTAGAAGTTCTATCAGCCCTGATGAATTGGTATCTGACAAAATCTTGGTATGGATTCAGAAGGGCCGGCGAGCAATTCGGAACTTGCATCTTAGTCATCCCAACATAGATATAAAAAACAAGGTGTTCTAATAAAACTGACTACGTGTAAGTAGTTGTGATAGGTTTTTATGTTTTGTCACATCATTAACATTAACAGACGTTGTACGTCCGATAGTTTCAGGACAACGTTGTTCAAGATCATTCAACTTTTCTTCAATATAATCCTAATTATGTATCATGATAATAGCCAAGTGTAAATTCGCTATTCGTTTGGTGATTGACTAGGTATGACTAATCATAAGATAAATGTGTAGCAAACATCATATAATATTACTAAGATTATTTCAATCGACTGAATACAGGTTAATGTACGTCTTCAACCCACACTCCAGGTGTGAGGGCTTGTGATACTACTCAGTTATCCAGACCAAAGTAGATGGAGCGGCGTTCGAACTTATGAGTTAGTGACTAAAAATCAAGTACCTTAAACAAGTCACCGTTCTACTAAAATCATGGAGAAAACCAATGCTAGTAACCTTTTACAACTAATTGTTAGTTTCTATATTCGGCTTCCAGGCACGCTTTATGTAAGACTTGATGATATACTGCTTAGCTACCCTAATCGATATATGTGGAACAAAATTTCAACCTCTACCCTACTAATTGGAAGTCGGGTGATATCACTATTAGCTATCACAGTGAACTGCATTACAACTTTATGCACAGCACATAAGGGCTAGTTAAAATGATAGAGGTTGCTGCTAAAGGATTATTTAGTGTGTAATTTAATTAACCACTAGAAGTCAACTTGTCTCAGGTAATTGCGCTTAACTTCAAAGTGTAATAAGAATATCTGGCTGAATTTTAAATAGAATGAGGTAATATTAGTTGCAAATCTTCAGAATATGTCAGACTACTTGCATTAATTATACCTGTTACTCCTCGTAAAGGAGCATAGGCCTCTCACCAGGATTCTCCATTCAACCCTGTCTTGGGCAATCCTTTCCAGCTCTTTCAAGTTGTTCTTCACCCTTTTCAGATCTGCTTATATTTCACGATGTCATGTGTTCTTTGGCCTTCCACTTTTCCGCTTCTCTTCAGGATTCCAAGTTAGCACTTGTCTCGTGATGTAGTTTGGTGATTTCCGTAACGTGTGTCCTATCAATTTCCATCGTCTTTTCCTAATTTTCTCTTCATTTGGAAGCTGTTTTGTTTCCTCCAATAGAAGGCTATTGCTGATGGTATTCGGTCAACGGATATTGAGTATCTTCAGCAGACAACTGTTTATAAATACTTATACCTTCTTGATGATGGTTGTGGTAGTCCTCCAAGTTTCAGCACCGTACAGTAGAACTGACTTGACGTTCGTATTGAAGATTCTGACTTTGATATTGGTTGAAAGTTGTTTTGACCTCCATATATTCTTTAACTGTAGGAATGCGGTGCCTGGCTTTGCTAGTCCTTGCCTTTACGTCTGAATGCCATCCAAAATAACGTCGCTTATAAATAAGATTACTGTTCACAGATCTGATTTTACTCAAAAATGAGGACATTATACGGATAAAATCTCCCAGGTTGGAAACTTAACGTTTAATAATGATGAATAGGAATCAGTTAGCCACAATTAGATACCTGAAAAATTAATTTAGGATGATGTTAGCTTGCAGTTGTGCAGCTTTCTCCTGAGGATAAGCAGTATTTGCTTAAGTGTCGAGAGAAAGTTGAGCATGTGGAAAATCAAACTATTGGTTCAACCTCTTCCATATCTTTAAGATGTCGTGAAAAGCTGCTTTCGAACCGCTTAATATATTATGAGAATATTACAAAATCATGTGGGTCCCATACGACAAGAAATGAGAACAGTTGGTTACGCATATTTCTCAGTGATCCAGTATACTGTGTGGACGAGATGCATCTTCCCAACAAACCATACTATTTTCAACAGTTGAGATCATGAGTCAATTGAAGCTAGACCACCATGGGGAACCTGGAAGCACTGGACGGCCGCTTCGTCCTATTTTGGGACTCCTCAGCAGTGTGCATCCAGGTTTTTCATGGTGGTCTAGCTTCAATTGACTCATGATCTCAGCTGTTGAAATTACTACAATCTCCACAAAACCCCTTCCCATACTATTTTATTTCCGAGTTAGCTCAAACATTCATCATAGCCTGATTCTTCAAAAGCGATGGTGTAATATATCAAAGTTGCAAGCGTATACTGTCAAAATAGGGCATAAAAGTTAAATGCAAACGTTATCGAAATATCATGAAAAACCGTTATGAGGTGGAGAAATTATGATCTAAGCCATGGCACCATGATTCAGTATATTTTTATACGTGTCACATGAAACTTAACACTAGGTGACTATGAGAGGAGAAGATAACATTTTTAGTTGAAAAAAACAAACAAACAATTCCTTCTGATTGAATAAATGGTCTATGAAAGACTACTCTTCGTTTCTGGGGTAAGAAAGTCATCAACAAAGTAAGTGTTATTTATTCTGAAAACAGGAATCATGGTTACTGTGTTCCCTATATATCAAGAGACATGAGCCGAACAATTTTTTCAGTATCTTGTATTCAGTCAAAAAGTGTAACATTAACAATTTGTGACCTTAACTCCGTTGGTTTTTATGTAACTAGAAACGAAGTGACGACTGATTTCAAATCAATAACAACCTAGTTTAACGACTAGAACTAAGGGCAGCCAAATGTATTTGTGATTGTCAGAGGCTTGACGTTTTCCGTGAAATTCATCATAAGCGAAAAACTTGAGGATCTTGCCACACTGATAGCCGCATCACAAATTACGTCCTTTATGGCTTGGTTATGTATCCCGATTGATCAGCGAGCATTAACCAGTGTGGTTTTAATCCAATCGAAATCTATTCATCAGTTTACATTTTGAAAGTGAATAATTTTCACAATTGTTTGTTTCTTAATAATTGTGTCCATTGTATTTTCATATTTGTACAGATTTCCTATGCAAAAATATATTCCAATGAATGCGATTGACAACTTGTCTACCTATCTATATTTCTCAATACAGTGTGTTCCCTATGTGAATCTGTGTGCACATTTAGCTTTAGTGTTGAAAGACTTTATTCTCCCGAAGTTAATTTATTTTTGTGAGAATTCTTCCTAATTTGACACATCTTAATATCACTAACCAGGAGCTACGAAATATCATTGGAAATGATTAGCGAGTAGACACAGGCTGATAAATTGTTGATAGTCTTCAATCAAGTTAGGTTCCACGACGTCCGATTCAAACATAACGGCTTCTTATGCTCTTGTTTAATCATCCACAGGATTGAAAATTCAAAGAATGGACTAAAGCATCGTAATTGGTAAATCAAATTATTAGGTAAATAAGTCAGCAACATATACTTATTTGTCATACCGCATACTTACGCCTGTTACCACTCATAAAGGAGCGTAGGCGGCTCACCAGCATTCTCCGTCTAACTCTGTTCTGGGCAATCCTTTTCATGTCTGCTTCCGATTTCAGACGCAGTGTGTTCCTTGATATTTCTCTCTTCCGTCTGCCCTCAAGATTTCAAGTTAGCGCTTGCCTCGTGATGCAGTCTGATAATTTCATCAAAGTGTGCCCTGTCCACATCCAGTGGATTTTTCCGATTTCCTCTTCACCTAGAAATAGGTTTGTTCCCTCCCACAGTAGGTTGTTGCTGATGGTATCCAGCTAACTGACGTTCAGTATCTCATGTAGATAATTGTTTATGAATACCTGCATTATTCTGATGATGGTTGTATTAGTTGTCGATGTTTCAGCTCTGTACAACAGAACTGTCTAGACGTTCGTTTTGAAGATTCTGACTTTGATATTGGTTGACAGGTATTTTGAGTTCCGTATGTTCGTCAACTGTAGTGATGTTGTTCTTGATTCGTCAATCCTTGCCTCCGTGTCTGTATCAGATCCTCCACCTCCGTCGATGATGCTGATGAGCCAGGTACGTGTAACTTCACACCTGTTCCAAAGTTTCTCCATCAAGTATTATTGTGTTGGTGTTCTCCGTGTTGTATTTGAGGATGTTTGTATTTCCGTTGTGTATGTTGAGGCTTACTGATGCAGAGGTTGATACCACACTGTTTTTCTTGACTTGCATTTGTTGGTGTGAATGGAATAGAAGAGCTTGGTCGTCTGCGAAGTCTGAATCGTCTAGTTGCGTCCAACCTGTCCACTGGATTCTGTGCTTCCCTTCGATGTCGAGGTCTTCATAATACAGTCAACCATCGGAAGAAAGAGAAGAGGGCAGAGTAGGTAGCCTTGTCTGACACCGCTCCTCACTCGGAATGCGTCTGTCAGCTGTTCCCCATTCAAACACTTGCAGTGTGGTGCACCATATTGCAGTGAACAGAACATCAGTGGGGACAATCGAATGTATTTAACACAAAATTACAGGACTTGTTAATAAAATCTAACAATCATAAAGTAAATGCTTAATTTGCGAAACATCCATTAATTGTCTGAGAAAGACTCAGACTTCATTTTTCTTGCATTTTCATACAAATTGCATCCTGCTTCCACTCTTTACTGTTCGATTCGCTTGTCTCTCTGCTGCCAGACCTTCAGTTCACGACTAACATCATATACTACTTATGTCAATATAAGTAGCACACACCATAGTATGAATTCTGGATGATGTTGACGATATTCTCAGGAACTCCATAGTGTTGAAGAAGGTTCTATAATGTCCTCCTGTCCACACTGCGAACGCTTTCTCGTGATCAAAGAA